GAAAACACCACGTGTACTAACTTGTGCAAAAAAACTGCGCAAGTCTACTTGAGACAGGACGCATGAAAGTTGAGGACAGCCCGGGACAAATACGGCGACGGATTTTGCGCTGGCGCTTGGGTTTCGGCAGATTCGGCTTTAAACATGAAAGGATCCGGGACCCCCAAAAGACATCATCGAACAAGCAAAAGTACTGAGAGGGTTTGCGCTTTTGAATCAAAATTTGCACGACTGCACGTGCGGTTCCACACCCGGCGGGAAGTTTATGAACCATACGCATCCGTACGTGTGTCCCAGCAACAACCCGTTCGTGCACGAACCTTTGTACCTGCGGGCTGGCTCGATCGAGCTGAAATGGTATGCCTCATCTCTGGTCAGTGTTGACATGCAGTTCGGTTTGGCTTTGGCGTTGGCGCCTGCGAATTTAGTCCAGATTTGGCGGTTTAATCAAGAGTCAAGAGTGATGTTATCTTATTGAAATGGTGTGTCCATGGCACTCACAGTTCATGGGGCAACACTTTCAAGGAGCATTTGGCTTTCCTGGGTCTCATCAGTGGCGAGCCTCGGCCAACTTTGATGCGTGGATACAGAAGAAATCCAGCGTGGAAGAAGAATTCTCAAACTCTGTGTGAGATATGGGCAGAGGGCATCCCAGGCCAAGCTTGCTGAACGTTCTTCGTGACCACCCAGATTTTGGGTTACAATGCGGCCAGACCAGTGTCAATGATGGTTTCAAAGCAAACGCGCCCTGGCATGCCATGCGTAGGAGCTGCACGGCTTTCGGGGCGAAATCGTAAAAGTTCGCTCGAGGCGCCGTTTGTCGGATTTGCAAATCAAGCTTTCATTCACAGCAGCGATTGACGATCCATTTGCGTACTTGTTGGAGACTCTGACGCATGTCCTTCCTCCTGGCAAAGGTAGCAGTGTCTGTCGTTGCGCAAGCCTCCAGAGCCGTTAGCTGGAGGCAAGCCAACGCACTTCTTCACGCAGCCTGTATGCAATGTTTTTGGCCCTCCACGTCCACCCAAAGACCCGGAGGCTGCTTATGGCGCGCGTATCAAAAGACGGGACATTGATCTGGATTATTCTGCGAAGGGGAGGCGAAAAATTAGCCTCTACATACTCAGCGCGCACAGCAGACAGAAGTTCGCTTCTTCTTCTTTTTCTTCCAATCCGGCCAAGGGTCAGTCCATCCATGTCATGGTCAATGGTATTTTCACCGCAGAGGGATGGTCAGTGCTCGCGCTTGCAAGGAGCCAGCATATTGTACTGTGGGATCATGACGCAGACGCAACAAAAGTTAGCAGGTGGGCACCATGTTTTCGCGATTTCAATTAATTGCGCATGCAGCGGGAATCCAATGGTCGTGGAAACAGCGCGCGCGTTCTGGCGGCTCTCCACAGGAAGAGGGTGGAGGCAAGGTATTTGCCTGGCCAACCCTTGCCTTTCAAAGGTGTCTCATCTCTGGGGCTTCAAGAGCCTGAGTGAGCAGGTCAGGACTGTTGATGTTCCAGTTGCAGATGCTCGTGCGCACGTGCGTCTATGGGGGGGTGCGCGTTCCTTTGAACGCCCACAAAATCCTCCAAGCGTGTGGCGCAGCAGACTCAGAAGCTGGAGTGCGTCACGGTGCTTCCTTTCGATCATTGTGTCGTCAGACGCCCGCCAGAACACCTATAACACCATTGCTGCTCCGAATTGGTTGCCTCAGCGAGGCATGCCACCATTTCGGGCATCAGCCGTCAGCTTCAAAGGCGGCGTGCCCACAGAACATACAGGCTGGATTCGACCACTCTAATTCGCTGCATGACCGCCAAGCGCCGACTGGCGGAGTTGATCGCGAAAGGACGGAAAAATGAATTTTGCTTCGATTTTTCTCGTAGGTGTATAGTCAGACAAATTCCCAGCAACAATTTTTGTTTTTGGGAGACATTCCTTTTGGTGTCAACTTATCTGTGATGGTAGTGAGTAGTACGAGGCACCAGTTGTGGACTTTTCAGTATCGCGAAGTTTTCAAGACTTGGATTTACAGAAGGTGGGTGGAGGCTTACACCCGAGTGGCCCGATGATTGTTGATGCCCCCCCTTGATTTGGATAGTGTTTTCGTACTGCGGAGCAGCCCTACTCCATTTGACCGGCCGAGGCCACTCTACAATCGGAAGGCCTTCCCTTGGACACCGCAGCAGACAACTCCTAAGCCCAAAGTGGGCATCTGAGCAGAAGTTGGTGGTGGCAAAGCATTGTTGGCAATTGTAGGCCTTGGCTGCTGGTGGCTGCTGGATTCAACTGGCACTTGTTTAGCGAAGGAACACAATGGAACACACACACACATATATGACATTCTGCACCTAATGCGGTCTTAGGTTCAAACATATACAAATCCAGATTACACTGAAGACTGCTCTCCACCAATGAGCCCTCCCTGTGGCGGTGCAGGTTGTAGGATTCGGCAGATGGCACTGGCTGAACTCGTCAAATATTCAATCAACAGTTCGGCGCATGTTCAGCGCTTTGGAAACGGCCTTTGTTGTGGAAAGGTGGATGGGATTTCATACATAAATAATTGCATAACATTTTGTCAGAGACCTTACCATGCAGGGCAGGGAAAACGGTGATTATGAAATATCATGAACGAGGAGGTCGTTTCAAGATTTGACGATTTTTTGAAAACGAGGGTTTTCCATTAAACAATTTCGATTCCCATTTTGAGCGGTTGGGTGGATTTCTCCCAAATGTGTTATTTTAAGAAGAACCAGGCTCTGGCCATGGTCAACACAAATGGAGCATCTCTGTGCCATCTTCCCAATAGCGTCTGACCTCGCCACCATCGCACGTCTCAACCCCGAACAAAGGGGAACAAAGGGTGTCCGTAGGTGGTTGCAGACATTCGGGCGTGGTCGTTGAACTGATGCAGAGTGATAAATGTGTTAGTTGTCATTAGTTGTCATTTTGAGGGGAGTCACATGTTGGCTCTTTGGGACTCACGCAGGGTGTTTGGGCAAGAGGTTTTGTGTTCTTTTATGTTCTTTGGTGGGTGGGTGTTCTCTCCTGTTGAAGTAGATGGCCGCCCTCGGAGACATGTTTGTTGACAACCGACACTCAACTCGCTTGACCGTTTCAAGCATTGGTCACAGCAAAGCATCCAACACATCTAAACCACCAAATCAGGATTGTTCCCGAAGGCTGTTAAATTTCCGAATGCCAAACAACTGTAGGCAGCAGGGTGATGTAAATTTGCACTCTCAGTCCTTTGGTCTTGCAGAGGGGTTCTACTAAGAGACACAACAATATTAAAACCCTTAGGCCCTTAGCACGGATCAGCAGGGATCTATGGAACAGGCCAGGTACCACGTTCCTTTTCTTCGCCCACTAGTGATCATGCTGGAGCTGACACAGCTTTTTGGGCAGCCGCGGCAGCCTCGAACAGCCCGGTCGACGAAGCCTGTTTTAGGGGGATCAGATGTTTAAGAAACTATTTCAGACGGCATTTATCCCATCGTCCAAAATCTTTGGATCTAGACTCCAAGCGGCAGTTGACCATGAGATAGATACTCAAGTGGCTTGCTGATGCTTCCTGCTCAAGCGCTGGGGGACAACCCTGCCCGGCGGGAACTGATACTGAACTGATCGGCGAGCCGTGGGTATCATCCACTTCTACTAGCATGGAAGATATGAATGTTTTACATCAGTTGACCCCTGAAAATCTCAGCAGAAAGGACATCGTGGAAACATGGGGGGCAAAGACCAAACTCTCTAACAATCCAAGAGCTTTGGGGGTCCATGATGTTCCATGTTGAATTTCAAGAGGAACCACCAGCCAAACGCTTGGACTTCTCGGAATGGTCCTTGTTCGCAGTGTTGCTTCAACTTCGCCCCAAAAGGTTACACTGCAGCAGTCTTGTTGGCTGGCTTGGCGACCGTGTGCAACGTAGAGTCTTGCCCCGACTTGCGGCCTCCAGTTTGGACTTAGCCATGTGCTAGGCGCGGATTGAAGATCCGGGTTCAAAAAAGCATCGTACAACAATTAAAACAACTTGTTTGAATATCTCCCTGTTTGATCATATTTTGCGATGTGTTATGGCCATACATGTTCTCAAGGCTTTCATGTTTCTTTTCCTCCTGCGGGTCACTGGTTTTTGGCTGCAAGCCATATATACACGCTTTCTTGGACTCCATTAGAATGGAGCTCCCTCTTGGTTCCAAGGTCTGTGTAGCGTAGTGTCCGGGACATTTTGTTATCAGTTATCAGTCACAAGCTTTCTCAGTTGGTCATGTGAAAAGCAAGTTTGCCGGCTCGAGTGCAAGCAAAGACTGCAGCAAACTTGGGGCGATGAGCTTGGAGGCCGGACACGGTTTTTCCATGTGCCACAAGCCTCTTTCCGGGGTCGTTGGAAGGGTATGTCGGTATGAGCTGGTCCCAACCAATATGAACTGGGTGGGTTGAAGATCTCTTTGAGTATGGACCGTTGCTAAGGATGCTTCAAGGGTCTCCCTGGTTGCAGGTAAGTCCGTAAACAGACGTCTTTATGCAGTTCCACCATAATGAAACATATATTATATATATAATATACATCATTGCCTGGCACGGGTTTTCGACACCTACCATTGGCCTACCATTGCCAAATCCAGCGTATCGCAATTTGTGTTCAAGACCATTGGAAGCAGATAGACTTTGACAATACCAAGCGGCCAAACTTTTTATCACTAACTTCTAGTACTGTTACTGTAGTATAGATTTTCCTATGGCAGGGGAGACACCCACACATTGATAGGGATTTCCGGGCATGAAGATCGCCAGAGATGACCAATAGCATGGAAGACAGGTGCAAAAGCAGTACGTCCAAGATCTATTAGCTGTATTGATATCGTGGAGGCAAATGTGATTGAAGTATATTGAAGTTCCATTTTTTTCCACGTGCAGTTCCACTCGTTTGTTCTCACAACTGAAACAGGACTGCCGTTGTTGCCGATGTGGAGAGGGCATCCAGTTGGACAAGGGCCCTATGCTTTTGTGGGAGCAGAGACCGCCACCCACTTTTGGCTTCTGGATTTGGCTGGAAGTGCGTCGCTTGGGCGGGTGAATGGAGGGCCGGCTTGGGAGTTCCTCCCTCTCTGCGAGAGAAGGAAGGGGAGGTCCCCTTCGTGGACTTCCTCGTTCCAACCTATGGCTTTGCTTCTCCTACTGGTTGTTGAATTGAGAAACGCATACATGAGACATGCCACTTTCTGCGCGGTTTGTACCGATGAGATGTGGTGTATATAGAATAAAATACATTTCTGCCAGATGATGTGAGGTTCACACGGTGACCCGGTGTGCATCACGTCATGTCATGTCGCGATGAGTCACGTTGACGTCTCCATGTGTGTTTACGGCCTGGTGCAGGTGTGGGTTTACGGCCTGGCGAGCTTTTCCTCGCGGAGTGGGAGGACACATTCCAGGACTTCGTGCCAAGCCAGAGAAGCTTCGTGGGCGCAGGCAGGCTTTATTGCAAAGGGTGTCTCTTGGCCATGCTCCAAGAAGGGTGCTTCTTTTCCCCCAAGAGTATGATAAGATGATAGGTTTGGACTATGAGGACTTCCTTTTCCTGCTTTGAACGCTTATTGCACCGCCGAACCGAGTTATGGAGGTCGCCCTCCCGAAACTCCTCGGCCAATACGTTCCTTTTTATCCTTTTTAGAAGATTCGCAGCAATGATCTCAGGCCACGATGAGTGGGGCTGGTATATGAAAAGCGGGCTTCCCCGAAAGAACTTCAAGTTGAATGCAGCTTGCGAAGAGTTGGCTCAGAGGTTCAACGTGAAGATTCTGGGGCGCAAAGCAGACCTCGGAATCCTGGCCTGAACCATTCGCTCCCGTCACTGTGGCAGGTATTGAAGGTCCCCCGGTGACGGTCTTGAGCGAGGATAGAACAAGAGGTGGGTTTGGCTTCAACAAGTTATAACGCTTGTGGCAATAGCATCCATCAACAACTGCAAGTGCCATAAGACCGCAACCTTTTCCTTCAGGGATTTGCTTCCCTAACTTGGACACTCTTCGGAAGACTGATGAACAACATCTTTTTCTCAACTTTTATCCCACATTTAGTTTTGAAGAGTCGCCTGTGACAGCCATCTCAGGAGCTCCTTTTCTCTGCACAGTGTGTGACCAGCGTTGCAATGCACAAAACTTGCAACGGTATCTTGGAGTCTAAATTTCATGCTGATTTCATGGTGATAGTAGCAGGGCTCCATTCCGGAGGGTACCTTAGCAGAGTAGCAGATAGTCGCAGGGCATATTCCTCATCAGCGGGGACTTTTTTGTGCAGCAGTAAAGAACGAGGTTTTAAAGCTTGTGCAAAGGCTGCTGCCGACACGGAAAACAGGCACGTGAATGGGGCCCATTGCAGTACCAACAAGTTCACTTCGCGAGGTTTTGCTTCATATCGGTCCATCCAGCAAAAGGGTTTCACCTGTTCCGCCTCGAGGCATCTGGAGACACACGTAGAAGCTTCGACCGTGAAGCTCGAGGGTGCCACGCAGACAGAGATGTGCTGGGAATCATGGCAAGAGCTAGTGACGCTAGTGGACGTCCAAGGGAAAGTGTGTCATGCGAGTTGTTTTGGCATATAGAATGAGTGTGCAAGTTGTATCAAGTTGTTTTAAACACCATTTGTTGATTGAAACTGCAGGTCCTGCTTCTTAATTCAGATTCTTTCACCTGGAAGAGTTGGACAGTAAACTAAATGCCTCTGTGGCAGGGATCCTTTGAAGCTTGTAAAAGAACATGAACACCGCACATGATTGTCGTAGAACAGGAAACACGGATTGGCCAACCATGCAGCGCTTGTTGCCCAGGTCGGCCAGGAGGAAGATATTTATTGTACGCCCTGTTGGGAATTTGAATCAGACCAGTGCAGGACTCAGAAGTTTTGCTATACAAAGGGGTGGTGTGTCTTCTTGCAGAACATTTGATGTGGGTGTAGCAAATTGTTTGTCTTTTTTCAACCGAATAGTCTTATAGTAGATGCCACCTACTTTCTTTTCTGACTTGGCAGGGGTCAAAGTGGGACTGACCAAAGTCTGACGCATCACCTCTAGACTCTGGATGCTTGGATGTGACTCAGGTACTATGACGATTGGCAGCCCTTCTTAGATCACATGCAGAAGGCAAGCAGCGCATTCAAATTTGGCTCACAGTGTGATCTACAGGTTGTGCTGTGGATTGAGCACGACAGGAACTGGAAGCCAGCTATCAGAGCTTCTGTGATGGCAACACTGGCAATTCTATTTGCCACATTCGCACCAACGGATCCTTCGCAAGAAACTATGTGTTGGAGGATGACAGGTTCAAGGAACAGTGGTATTTAGTTGAAAGGCCACTATATTTATATTACTGTTATATGCTAATATCATGGGAATGGCCACGATTGTTGTGAGTCTTCACAGTTTTGGTGGCTTTTTTGGCCCTGTTTGAAAAACCAAAGGAATGACTCTGTTGTAGGTGTGAACTAAGCATCCGACTGTGAAACCTAGCGAGGTCAAACCTACCAAGTCGACCTGGAGAAAATGGAGCAAACGAATGCGAAGACCAGGAAGGTGCGCCGTGTTCGACGGGGTCAGAGGCCCAATGATGCAATCCTACCGTGACTTGGATCGAAGGCCTAACGTGCCCAGACCATTCGTTGGTTGTTTTGGAAAAGCGTTTATGGGCATGTGTTGCAGACGCTTTGTGAAGACACGGAATTGAACCATATCGACCTTTATGTGTTTTTTGTTTTGTTTTGTCCTTTCTCATGTAGCATTCATGAAGTGTTTGTCCTTGTATTCTATTGTCCTCTCTCACGACCGGACAGAATGCAGAATGCAAAAGCCGTTTCCGAACTCTCAGTGTTTGTCGCGGTGAAAGGATTGGAAGTGTGTATCAGGTCCAATAGCCTGTTGGCTTGACGGTGTGCTAGTGAAGGATCTGGCAAACATATTGCCCTGGCACTACGACTATTGTGATCAACATGTTTTTCCTTGTACTTTGATAAGTTGATAAACCTCGATTATATATATTTCCTTCTCTAGTGCCTTTGTTAAGCGCAGATTCCAACAAAGTTCCCAGCGAGCAAGCCGTTTAACCACAGGTTTCAGGAACTTTATGAGGATCCCCATGACGATCTGATGGCAACTTCACTGCCCGAAGGATGCTTCGGCAGAAGGAGGCGATTATGGAAGACCTGATCGAGACTAACCATGGGCTCGATGCAAAGGCAGCGCAAAAGATATCACATCAGAGAAAGTGGTGCCTTCATCCTAGACTAGAGATGGCTCAGAGCAAGTCGATCTGTATCTTGAGGCTAGTCACTCCAGTTATCGAGAGGTACAGTGGCAAGGGTCTTAGACGTCGGCATCCGCAGTCGTTTCAAGACCGGACATGAAGACCTTGCCCCTGCAAAGACGAATGTAACTGTATTCTGCAAATAGGCCTCTTCGGCAAGGGACTTTGCCACATGGTTGCGACATGTTGTCGGGAGGATCTTGTGGTTCCAGTGACACTCGGATCAGCTGACAGGTCATGTCACTGGGGGAGGAGAATGAGAAGCTGAAGCTTCAAGTCGACGCAGCCAAGAATGAACATGTCCAGAAGATGATGTGCGCGGACCGGGGAAGGGAGGTTGCTGGGATTTCCTGTGATCTGATTTGACTAAAGATCTCAAAGGAGTGTCTCTCTCATCGTTGATATTCAGAGTTTTCAGAATCATAGTGTTTCACACCATGCTTTTGTTGTGAAACAAAAGCTGAAAGTTGTACCTTTTGGTGTACCAAGCTGCTTGGAACCAATCTCAAAGGAGACTTGGACTTGGTCCTTTTGCTAGGAGTCCTGGCGCATGAAGGACCAGCACAAGCTGAGCGTGCGGCAAGCAATCCAGCTCAAGGATCCAGTGGCCTGGCCGAGCTCGCCGATGCTTCGAGGGTTCTCTCATCCAATGGGCTCAGTAAAGTTAGTAAAGTCAATATGGCCATCGAGGCTTCTCACTCCATCACTTTTTGGTGAATTTTATAGTAGATCCTGACTTGGACCCAGATGCATGGGTTGTTCGATCAATGCACCCTTCTCCTTGGCTTAAAAGACTGAAGACTGGTGTGGGGGGTGGCTGCAGCTGGCGTTACTATCTCAATGTTTACTCATACCATCTCAATGACTCGGAGTAAAGAAGCAACCGTTTGCTGGACACATTGCTTAAAGTCAGCAACATGACAGACATAAGTCAAAGAGACTTGTAGAGCTTCCTTATTGTTTTGCAACCAGCTAGTGGAGGAGACTGGAACTTGTGTATCTATCCAATCGTCCCATGAGTGATTTCTTGGAAGGCCAGTACGAAGATCAGGTCGTTGAACAAATTCAAAGCTTGCTTCGGAGTTCATGTCCGGACAGTCTCTGCCTCAGTTGACACAAGAGCATAGGTTGGACATGGAGCAAAGTTGGGATCTTTGACCCCAATCAAAAGTGGGCATGGTTCAGGGAGTCGCACGGCAAAAGAACTGAAGGCTTTGTGCTAGAGGCCACGGTTTCATGTATTTTTTTGTTTGAGCTCCATCTTGCTTTCTTTGGCTAAAAGAATCTGTGCTCTATAGGCCGCATCGTCATGGTTGTTGTTGCCCCCAAGTTCTTTCTCTTCAAGCAAAACAGATCAGTCAAACTGAACTGCTTGCGCATAGAAGATTGCTGCCTTGGATTGCTTTGGTGTCAATGCACTGTCAAGGCTAAGTAACGTTCTTCCTTGATGGCAATATATTATATATGGCAATGATGTGCGCCAGGCCACTATGGCCCCTGCAACGTCTTGAGAACCATTGAAGTCCTGTCGGTGGAACAGATCCACAACGTGAAGCTGTGGAACAAGTATGTCTTCCAGAAGGCCGACGTGGCGACACCGGAAAAGTCGACTGACATCATGAGCAACCAATTGCTGAATCGACACCGATTGCGCAAGTAAATCAATTGCGGGAGGGGGGTATAGGGAACATACTGTAATCAGCATGTCAGTTGTTTTGTACAACTACAAGAGAGTGGACCAAGACGCCTATATATTGGCAATATATTGGGTATCAACGTGAACAGGTTTGACATCATCTGTGGTGTCGTTCAATAACTTTGCGCTCCCTACATGATCCCACATGCCAGCTCCCAGTTGGTTGACGTTAGTAGGTTCTTGGACGAACTGCTCAATAATGCTCAATAGCTTTGGCAGGAAGATATTCGAAAGGAATGTGAGGGCATGTCACGTTCGCCAAAATTGCTGATCAAGAGCGAGCTTGACCCCCTGTGGATGAAACTGGACGAAAGCATCAACGAGCCACTCGGTTTGTCTGACCAAACATTTAAGCAGTTGGCATATGCAGGATGCTGTCCATCAACATGATGTCGAGTTTGGGCCACCTGATCATAGGGCTTGCACGCACATCAACCGTTTTATACTTCTTTTTGCCAAGGATCGTGTGCTTGCACGGCACCACAATGGATAAAGTCGATCCTATCACAACTTATGGCTTCGACCCGCGATTTGCGAACACAAGCGGGCTCTATGGTCAAGGTGTGTATTTTACGGATCAAAGCTGCAAAAGTTCCTGGGCAAGGAAGTGGCGGCACAGGAGAAACAACACAGGGCGCTTTTTGCTGGCAAATTTGCACGGAGATAGCTTCCACTTTTGACCCGGCCTTTGCCCGTTTAGAGATTACACAAGCAACTTGTCAGTCACGACACAGATCTAGCAAGCACGACGCAGTGATGAGGTGTGACTTTGGGCGGTTGGGAAAGCATGTGTCATTCTTGCAACTGTTCCTATGATCTGTTCGAACGACGTCCATGATCACTGAACGGGTTCAAGACGATGTGCCCAACTGAGATCCGAGAGATGATTCTGTGCTTGGTTTGTTGAGGCTTCAAATATTCTGGGGCTCCCAGTGGCGGCTTGGGATGCTTCATCTTGAGCCGCGTTGTGCTGGGCTACCCCCATTTTGCAGAGGGCGCCATGAAGCATTTGGATTGCACATTTAGCAGTTGTGGAGTCTGTTTGTGGGGGGTCTCATAAACACATATATATATATATAATGAATAATGATATATATATATACATGCACAGGTTCATGCATGACACACGAAGGCAAGGATCCCTGCTGTTACATGTAGATCATGATACGTGATAAAGTATATGTTTCTGTGCGCGTGTGTCAAAATCCAGTCCCCTCTCTGGAGATGCCAGCCTACCATGATGTCGTGTTGGGAGCTTGACTGCGCAACCTATATGGTTTTCTTCCTTCAAAGCACAGAATTTAAATTCTTTCTGGGACGCCCAGTCAAAACACGGTCAAAGCGGGTTAAGCTAGCTTCCTCGTAGATCGGACCGATGGTTTGATTGGCCAAGGCAGGTGAAGGTAGAACCCGCTCGTGATGAGAGCGATCCTACAAAAGGAGCTGGGCAGTCTTGCAGAGAAAAGGTCCGAGCTGGAAGAAGTAGGATTTTCATCTATCGAAAAGCCCAAACCTTGGTGGTCCCCACTGGGGGCCAAAAGGGGGTTCCTGGAGACCTACACTACAGAGCACGACTGGCGTTCTTCACATCTGTGCTCAACCCATTTATTAGTAGCATTGGAGGCCGGAATGAGAGTTTAACTTCGGTGTATCCTTCAACCTGAGATGGGATTTACCTACAGTATCCGACGATTTTTTGCTGGTTTCCTCACCTCTCCATTTTCCAGACTCACCAGTAACACCTCCAGGACGTTGCAATAGTGTCGTGGTTAAGCCCGGCATCAAGAATGGCGCGCAACATGGAGGCCGCTCCTCAGCCGGAGTCGAGGACTCCGAAAGATCGGACCATCCGATCGGCGGACTCGAGGACTCCGAACGGGACTCGTGGAGCAAGCGATGGAACTGGCAAATGTCATGTCCAATCCATAACCCCTGTCAGTCAAAGATGAGGTTCCTTAGTAAGCTTGAGATCACATTTTTCATGAACCGCTGGGTGACAACGACTCCATTCTGCCAAGCTGCGTCAGGTACCGCAACACAGGAAGCTTGGCTGAACATGTTCTGAACAGGTCCTCATGCGCACGTGCTTTCCATGTGCGGTGGAATTTTCGACCTATTTGATTATCTCAACCAGGGGGAATTGACAAGCCTCAATCAGCTGAGAACTCAATTCTGTTGAGATAAGCATCCTGTGGTTAGTAGACTCAGTAGACAAGTGTTATACATGTTTGTTTGCACCGTAGTGCACGATCAGGCCAACTGTAGGAACATCAGCAGTGCAGCGTCTTTTGGGGGCATTCTCGCGAAGTGTAAGCGATCTTTTGTATCTCAGTTTCAATCATCTCTCAACCTTCGCAACCGCAATCTCAAGGTGGGGATTGTCCATGTCCGCATAGATTCCTGTCTTTCACTGTTCTATCAGACAATAACAAGCCATCACAAAAAGATAGGGCAATCAAAAAACCTTCAGGTGAAGCTCTCAAAAAAACCTTCAGGCGAAGCTTCCACCAACTGAGGTGCACAACGAGTTTGTGCTCTTCAACGGGCTCCAAGCCTATCCAGAGATGGTCATTTGCTTCAAGACTACCCAGTGAATCGTCACGGCAGATCAACTGAGAGGGCTGTTTCGGGCACTAAGGACACGCACCACTCATTTTGGTCAGCGCACAGGGAAACTGAGCAACACGAATCCTAGTAGCAAAGCGACATGGCCTCCCAAAGCCTCTGGGGCATGTCGGAGTATTTCACCATCTTTCACCTGTTCATTCATGTATTCGTTGCTTAGCAGTTTTGCATGCCAATGTGTGCTAGGCACATGAAGTGGCTGGGTCCATCATCACTGCCCATGCCGGGTGCACAAAGGCCTTGATTGTGTTTTCTCTTCCATGTGGGGGAGCCTGGTTGCTGGTTGTTTCGGGTGGCCAAGATAGCAAGGTAACCTGCTGAAATTCATAGCCATTGAAGCCTGATCGGCTTGATTCTGTGGCCGGATTTTTCGTCCCAGTTGTTCAACTTACTGTAAGCATATTTAGCAACGGTATGCAACGGTGCCCTTGCAAAGGCAAAGCCCTTGATTTGTTTTCTGAATCTCAGCAGATCATATTCAGCAAACAGCTGTGAGGAATTGGCCAGTGGAGAGAGAACGAGAATTGGCAGGAAAGATCGCTCTCCGTTGTGCATTGTTACGTAATCCAATATCTATTTCCATCATAAGGGTTTGATTTCAGATCCGCAACATTGTTCTTTGCTTGCTTCGTTGCATTTGGAGGGTGCATTTGTGCCGTGTTGTTTGAGGGTTGCTCGAGTCAGGGTGAACACTGGGTAGATCTTCTTCAAGCAAAGGCCGTGCTGATTCATTTTTGCCAGAGACAGCCAGACTCAATGCCGTTCCGGGGGATCGCAGCAGCCTCCTAGGGTTGAATATTACTGGCTGGATATTTGGTATACCTGACACGAGCGGTCTGGATTTGAACTGAGCTGATGAAGCTTTCAACAGCCATCGTGCTCAGAGGCTTCGGGTTTTGCTTTATCCAAGTGTCCGAGAACGGTGACAGAGCATGAAGTTCGGTAATGAAACACAGAAGAGGTTTGGAGCAACTTCTCCCATGTTTCCGGTGTGTAGAGCTCAAAGAAAGGATTTGATGGGAGTTGATGAAGCCCACAAACTGGACCACATTCCTCCCAGGGGCCATTCGCTTGGTTGTGGAGCTTCATCGTGTGCGAAACTTATGGTCGTGATCAAATCTGGTTTCACACCTTGGACAGAGCTGGCTTTGACAGGTAGGGATACTTCAATGGATGAAGTTGACAGCTCAACCAGTCTTAGACGGATGCAGAAGTTGCTTTGTTCATATTTTCGCAGGCATGTGCCATGTGCTCACATAGCTGCAATCCGACGCAGGAATCATGTGAAAACGTTTGTGCTGGGTAGTAGACTCCGATCCGTTCTCGAGTCGTTGGAGAGTGAAATCTCTTGAACATAGCGCATGAGTGATGCACGGTGACCAGCAAGCAGGCTGGATGACTGCGCCAAGTCGCTTGCAATAAAACATAGATTGGCGCTATAAAAGACCTCCAAACCACTACTGGAAATTCTCCACAGATTCAAACGGAGTTCCATTCCCAAAAGTATGGGAGGAGGAGCACCGTAGCAGACAGACTGACACGTCGCAAGTGGCACATATAGACTTGACTAGATGCATCTCAACGATCTCTCAGTCATTCACTGTTCCCAGTCCGCGAGTCCATGTTTAATGTCTGCCTTGCCTGCATGCGGATGCCCAGGATTATGCTTAGTCCGGCAAAGAGGCGAGCGAGGAAGAATGCAGTAGGGCAGTAGAAGCCAGCTTGATTGAACAAGTACGGTGGTCCAGCCCCTGGAGCCATCCAAAAAGCTGTTTTCGACACTGATAGGTCAACCAATTCCAGGAAGACGAAGTAGAAGACTGCAGAATCCATAGTTTTGGCACTTCTTTGTAGACGCATAGTATAAGATATCAACAAGTACTGTGCTTGTTGAGGTGATACTTGATGCTAAAGGACCTCCTTGGGCCTCTGTGAAAGACTCCTGCGAGTCTTCTAAAAGATACACCCTGACACACCCAATGGGTTTCGTTTGACTCTACCATGCGGACCCTTCCTTTCCACAGTTTACCAGAGACTTGATTCAGAGCCCGAACATCCACCCAGCTGGCCAAGATATTGTTGACATCTAGTTGACCTGTCAGTCCTTCAATGCCACGGAATTCTGAGACCATGTTTGACCCTTTTGGGCCATGGTGTAGATGGGGTTTGTCCTTGATCCGGACCCTGTGGAATATTGGGAGCACTGCAAGGAGTCATTCCTGCCCTCGAGCCAGACCGATTTAAAGTTATTTGACAACATGTTAGCTTGAAGCAAGGTCTCGAACTGGATTGTGGCATGGATTTCTCAACACGTCTGAGCCACCCTGGAACCCGGCAGATGGGAAGGATGTACATCCATCCCACACCAGCGACTCACTATCAACCAAAGTCAAGAGTCGTCCCATCCAAAGTTGTGCTATACTTGTAACACAAGATTTGTCAAGCTGCTGGAGTGAGAAAGAATTGGCAAATTAACAAATGAACGAGAAACTGAATTGCGTTGAGCAACCAATGCTCGACAAACAACGTGAGGCTTGTTGGTGATTCACACCTCGGAGTCCATCATGATGATTCACACGATGGGTTCTTCATCAACCAATGGCAGCAATCAATCCAACAATGCGGGCATACGATCTATCTCGGTATATGTGGACGGTATACTCTCCCGGGACCAACTGTATGTTTTCGGGTATCTCCCGCAGACCAAGAACGACATCGACCGCAAACCCTTTTTGCACCTTCCACAGTAGTCGTATGTTTCCGGCTTTCACGGGAGTTTTCTAGAAGCTACTGGAGCAGCAGCTGCTTGACAAAGAACATAAATTGAGGATATCCATACACCTCATTAGACAGTACGTTTTGACAGTGACCTTGTTTGTATATATATATATATATTATATATTCATATAAAGGTTCTATATGTTTCCACTATGTCACTGTGTGTTACAACCTCGAGGTTAGAAGACATAATCACTTGTGCTGCTCCAATGCTGACCCTTTCCCAAGAAGTATGAAGACCGAACAGGTCAAACTTCGCAGTATATCAGCTCGAGTATCATGACCCCCCAAAACAATTTGAGAGACTCCTTCACTGGCTGGCTTGCCTGGAAAAATCTTCTGTCGGACGAACAGGATGTCCTATGATGACCAGATTTGCCACATGAAAGGTCGTTGAATCCTTGCATCAGGGCTTTCTCGTCTTAGTGGTCGGCGCGTCCACCGTCCAAGCCTTCCAACCGCCTCTGGAAGTTAGTGAAGATGAGCCGCAGCGAGGGGCTGGGTGCTTTAGCCAAGCAGATCGCAAGGTCAACCAACGCTGGGCTGGATGTTCTATTTTGTCGTTTGGTGTGGAGTTGACTAGTTGAGTTCTTCAGGCCGGTTGGCCAGCCAGGGTAGAGTGGTTTTGTTGAGGATGGACATCATTAGGAAGCTTAGCATATCTACACCAGAACTCCGTAGAATGTACCAAGTGATAGAAACAAGTTCTCTAAGAAGAAGCAAGCATGACGGTCGATGTAAATCTGGCAAACCAGTCGCAAGTGGCCTACATCCAAGTGAGCTTGGACACCGCCAGGAAGATGTCTAAGATCCTGCTGGCATTGCTAGGCAGCCGGGACTGTGACCGGACCTGCGCGGTGCTGAGCTTCGACAGGTCGAGACATGGCGAGTCACACAGCGTCCATCGTGTTTGCTGCGACACTGGTAAGAGCTTTCCATGACGCAAGCTCGTTGATTGATTGTTTTCATGTCTTCAGAAACCAATTTGGACCTACTAGAGTTACTCTAGACTTAGCAATTTGTAGGTCATCAAACCTTCTATCTAAGACTCCAAGACCAAACACATCGCTGGACATGGACGGACCGTCCCCATTTGCTCTGAGAAGACCCGAGATTCTTCGACCAGCGTGACCAGGCCTGGCGACGGGATCACTGAGCGTCGACGAAGGCAGGAGACGTTCGGAACGCGTGGCTGGTGTGGCTCGCTCCGAGGGGAGGCGCACACACACACACACAATGGTCACAAATGATGTAAAACTGATGAAGTAGATTCGAATGATCCAATCGAATGGTCAAACAGATCCTAAGTTTTAAGTATGTTCTGATGATCATCTAAGACATGCTTGAGACTTGTGCTAACCCACTTATATATTAGCATGAGCGCGGCTTTAGAGTATACAATATATAGACGCTCAACAGCAAGGGTTTCATACATCGTTCAATCTGTCAGTCCATGTTTTGGGGTGAGAAGGGAGGGGATATTTCTGTACACTTGTGAGCTATCGCTCTATGAGGACGAACCAACTCCCAGACCAAGCCACCAACCACAAACTGGAGATCAGGGATTGTTGTTGCTTGTTTGATTGTTCCCATTCTGCCAGAGGGATTCAGGATGAACATAGTAAACATGGCCGGAATCCGCAAATCATCAGTATCACCTGTTGGTTGTTTGATTAAACGGAGCCTCACAACACAGAACGATTTGGTTTGTTTGAAAGCGGCCAGAACCTGGAGCCATTCTGCGTCACTAGGACCAAGGTGTGTTAGCTACTGAGGAATCTTGGATTCATAGTTGGTACCAATCTTTTTGTTAAAGAGATTCCAGTATACTCAGCCCAATTATATTTTACTCATCATCCTCATCAATGTCGCCTCAAGCAATTCTTCCAGTATACCCTTCCTCCAACAAGCACGGAATCGGACACATGCAGTGGACAATGGCCTCCTTGGCTTTCACAAACAGGTTTTGATGTGTTTTTTTGAATGTTTTTTTCCTCTTCAACACCATTGTTGTTGTATGGAGAGTAGGTGGATGTAGGTGGCATCTCTTCTCGGTGCCAACGGAGATTTGGCATGATTCGACCATTGCATTGACTGGATGGAGGGGGGCCCTAGCCGCTCGGCTCAGCCATTCCAATTTCTGCCACCGAACCGGAGGCCGCGGAGGCCGCAATGGCTGGACCGCTCAGCTGCACCGGCTGGACCTGGAGACCTCGGTTTCCGCCTGCTTGCTGCAGACGGCGGCACACCGAGAGGCGCGAGGTCCGGAAAGAACGCGTGGTGGAAGGGGCGGAGGAGGACGGGGCGAACTGCACTGTCGGTGTTTGAAGATTCAGATGGTGAGATTCGTTAGGTTCAATTGATGCTTACCATTGAGAAGGATGTCAGTGCATTGTGGTTTATGTACAACTCATTGACACGATATGTGGTGTGAGTCCGATGCCACAAGGATTGGTCGGCAGGCCAAAAGATCTGAATTTGGGGCCTTGCACCACAATCCACTTGGGGAGGTGTTGCATGATCCGGCAAACTGTTTCGACGGAGAGCGTATCTATAGATCCGTAGAAGCAATCAAATGGAACTTAGTCAGTTGTTCGGTGTTTATTCACATCAAACATCAAGGATCTACTTCCTAAGATATTAAGTGCTATTACTAAGGTTGTTCGGAAGCCTCGGGTCAACGAGCTACCCTAGCAGCACAACTTTTTGCTTGGCTTCACCGAAGGCCTCAACCATTTAGTAACCCCAGGACCCACAGCCTCTATCGAAGTAGCTGCCTACAGGAAACCGACCAGTTGCTCGCCCTGATAGTTGGTTGATTATTTGATTGCACATATTGAGCTTACACTAGATGAAGAAGATGAGGCTCTACGTCGGAACCAAGTGACTGCAGACTTTGATAAGGCCCACTTCCAGATGTTTGATGCGTGAAGACAGCTATGGTAGGTGGGTAGACGTCAAAGCCCTGGGACCCTAGTTGACCTCTACACACGCAGACTTCCGCAACACGTCCGGCGCCACCCAACGACCCTTCCCTGAAACGGGGGTAGCGGGGTGTGACCGTCATTGACCCCTATAATTGAACAACACATACCAGGAATTGCTCGCCTATCATGATTTTCAGGGTCCAGCTATTGACCCACCCGTACAGGGCATCGTGAATCTCCACTCTTGGCCGCACGAGGCGGCGAACGTCAGCGAAGCTTTCCGTCTTCGCAGGCAGGGTGCTAACAAGTAGTAAACAGTGGTTATGGAGGTGAAGTGGATGAGCAGCTTAGTCGGATTAGTATTGGTTAGTACTAACATTCCTGGACCAAGCAGCTCTTCTCCCGCCGTGGTTGCCAGGACCGATGTGGAGCTCCGCTTGAACAACAGCCGTTTGAAGACGGAGTCCACCTCCCAGACCGGGAAGTCGTTCGAGGCCGAGGGAGGGATGGACCCCCTCGGTCCATCGTCAGACTCGGACTCCGTGGACGGGATTGGAAGAGTCACTGGAAGATCAAAGGGCTTGGATAGGCTTTGGGGATTTTTGTCCATTTGTGAGAATCTATGGGAGTCAAGGTACATAAATGTCGACTTTTGATGATTCAAGCCCGATATGGGAGAGATAAAGTTGATATAAAGCGTTGTAAAACCATTTTGGTCACTGGGCTTTATGCATCAAACGTCTAGCTACTATGCAGAGTGGTCATTTTGGAGAGATCTTCGTCACCTGTGCACATCCGATGGCCTTCCGTGGATTGGAACAGACCCGGCAGGCATTGGTCTAGGTGGGTGACGCGAGTGGTGACGCTCCATGGTTTTTCCATGGTTTTCACGTCAATGGCATCGAGCTGACCACGGATGCGGCCCATGCGACCATCATGTGGGTCTAAAGCGGCGTGTTTGTGCAGCTCTGGCTTCCTGATATCCACATTCCCGCGGTCTACTACCTCAGTGGTGGAAACCTTGGTTTGACTCTCCAGTTCTTCGAGGCCAGTGAGCACTTGTTTCTGCACTGTACAAATTCTTTCTCTCTCACGCAAGTATAACCTGGCAATGTGTGAAAATGACGGGCTTTAAAACATAGAAGATTTAAGCAGTTCGATGAGCGGAGCTTGATGAAACTATAGAGAGGTCTTGACGCAGTTCGTGGCACTGAAACCCCTATGGCCTTTTCTTGCCGCATCCGGTCACCTTTTACCCTCTCTATATACAATTACTGCACAATATTACTTGCTTCCTTTCCGTCATGTCTAATTTGTGAAGTTGTGTTTTTATACGTTGATCTTGCTTCTCATGATTCCATGGGGTTCTATTAAGCAGATCCCTTTTACATGCCTGGGCATGCACGTGCATGCATCTAAATTTGCGCTTATGACACCCCTACTTTTCCCAATGTCCATCAACCCTAACCATTCACACTCAGCTTACACAGCGTCTTTGAGTAAAGATGGTTAGCCATCAAAAACAACGAAACTACCACAACACCGATCCCTGTTGTCAATCTACAACCATAGAACCAATGTAGCTACTTCGGGCCATCGATCCTCAAAAACACATAGGATGCATTACAAAAAATAACAAGCTTTTACTGACCTGGAACCACCGCCAGTTTTTCAAGCGTTCTTATTGACTATAGTGCCCATTGTAAGACCGGCGGAAGGAACTCCCAATAGAGTTTCTTTTTGGCGTCCATATCACTCCTCTACTAAACTTAAACACTAGTCAGATTCTATATACGAAGTCTTTGTTTCTTCGGCTTTGCATTCCAAGGTTGACGGAGCTCACCGAGCAGCTCGTTGAGGCACACTGGTCCAGGCGCACAGGGCGCTTTCCGTGTGGCCCGGGGAGATGACGGGATTGGATCCACATCAATTTCTTTGACGCCTCGTTTGATCATGTTGGACCCTGTGTTCGTTGAAAAAAGGGTCTTCCAACAAAGACCGCATATTATTACACATCCTAGACTTCAACATAACGAGACCTGCTTTCAACCCTTTTGCAAGGCATACAAATAACTTTAAGGCATTATGGATAATTTGGGTGTGACAAATCCGTATCAAGGGCGTATGGGTATGTTTGGCCCCACAACGCAGACATTGAGTAATTACCGTTAAAGACAAGCTGTTCCAACACAATTTGATCCTTTTTTCGAAGTCGAAGCCCTTCTGAGATCGCCCAACATTTGCAGTCAGGGTGGGTCATTTCTCCTCAGCCCTAGCTGCATTTTATCATCATGCTTCACGCTTTCAGAGTCTATGCTACGTAATTTTAGGCCTTTAAATGGAGTGCTGTTTTTGTTTAATATCCAGTGCCACATTAATATAACTTAATATGCCATTTGGATCCATTTTGCTTTGTTGTCCCTTCACATTGCCGGGTGGTCGCCTCGTGGTGTAGATACACCCTCCCTCCAATCATGGAAGTGGAAAACGGCCTAATAGAGGAAAACGGCCTACTATGGGCAGAACTTGTCAGTTGCCTTTACGATCTTATCAGGCACACACTTGCCTATGTGGCATGATACTAGCTACTAAAACTCAGGGACCAATCTTCTATGATTTAAATTCTCCTCAGGCTATCCTGATTGCACCCGACCAAATAGATCCCTTCTTCGGCAAGCCCATGCTTTTTGCCAAATAGTGCACTTTCTCACCACGATGACAGAGACTGCAATCATCCCACACATGCTGCAACGAATGCGATGAGTCCTTTACATCTTGGTCTTTCGAACGGACATTATGCACTTTTGGGGACTTTCTCGTCGGCCGGAATTCCCACACTCTCTGCGAGTTCCTGAGTTCTTCAAATAACATGTGATGCTTTCTGTTCAATCTCAACTGCCAACATTAATCCATCCACATCGGATCACTAGATTCATTTCGGTCCTCCGTATATGCATTTTCATGGAATTCTCGCTCAAAGGCGTGCCTTTTCAGCTTTGTTATTGTTCATTGTTTGAACTAATGGTGTCTAAAAAAGACTCTTGACTCAAGGACACCGTTTTTGCCTGTTTGTGAATGGCCACGTGTTCTTGAACGCCTTGTGTTCTTAGACCATAGGGGTAGTGTCACTCTATCCTCGTGGGTCATAGACCATAGGGCCATAGGGGTTGTTTTCTTGATTTGGTCTACATCTCACTGCTTGTAGTGCTTCCTATTGTCATTTGTCGGTCACCCACCCGGTTTTCAGAGATAGTGTATTGGATCATGTCCCATGCCATGGTTTTAGAGGGCTCCGCTTCCACGTTTGGATGGAGATCTTCCCACTGATACTGAAAAAAGGGTCTCATACTGGGTTCTCACGGGAAATAGATTGAACATGATGGAAATAGGTGCACAAGGTGTCAATCCTGAAGGGGAGCGTGGTCGTTTCCTCATGAGTTTTGACTCCGTGTCAGGTCTGTTTTTGGGCTCCGCTTTTCGCCCCGTTTGGTCAGAGTCTTCGACTTGACTGGAGTCCACATCCTGGAGCCATCTCTGAACGCTTCAGGCATGAACTTCACATGGACTTTAGGCTGGGTTGGATGGGTTGGATGGAATTGTACTGCCCAGGTACCATGACCAAGATACAACATCATCCACTTTGCCACAACATATGGAACAAATACTGGATCCAAAGCAAGCACGAGGTGATGGGTTTCAATTTGCAGCCTTTGGAGGTCCCGACGGCTGGAAGCATGAAGCCTTGCAGCTTTTTTTATGCCGTAAACTAGGAAGACATGTATCAAATGTGTGGAACCCCCTATAGACCTTGTAAGGAGAAGATTTGGACACCCTTTGCTGGGACTTTTCTCCTCCACTTTTACATCCGGTGACAGATGTCTCCCCTGGGTTTAGCCCAAGTTCCAACCCTTTTTTGAGTACCGGAATCACGTGGCTGATCCAGAAGCCATGGGTAGCATGACCGCGGATGTTTGATCACCGGGTGTTTCACACCGATCTGCAGGGGGGGGCCAGAGGTAGGAAGGTATAGGGCTTGGATTGATTTCAGTGGGGATTCTATACCTTCCCATAAGGATAGTAGGGCTATGCCAGGGGGATTTCAGTGGTATAGTGGTTTACAGGGCCTATACTTGGCACGTTTTCCGAACTGGTTTGCAGATTCTTCACATGGCGGTTGGTCAAAACCCGGATACTTCACTCATGTGTGTGGTATCGGGTATGAAGGGGGTGAACTATATTCGGACCTAAGCACACGGCAAAAGACGACGAACACTCCGCATTTGATTATGACAAGAAACATGATCGAACAATTCACTGCATGGTAAAGGATCGTCCAATTCACCTCATTTGGACAAGGCTTTGGTCTTCGAGCGCATGGTTTTCCTGTACGCTTTGCGTTTGTTGACCTACCTCCTTCCAGGTGACCGGACGTTTCCGACGCGTGACCGGAGACCGACGGACCCTCCAACGACGGACCCGACGTCCAACGTCATCACGGGCGACCGGATCGCCGCTGCATGGGCCGCACGCGATCTCCGTCGTGGGGAAGCCAGGAAGCCACTGTGGCTGACGCTTCTAGCTGGGATCTCAGGACCAACTGTTGGGGGTTCTCCTGGCAGTTTGCGTGGGAGTTATTTTTCGCGCTGGAGGAAGAACGTCCGGATACCATCCGAAGCAGAGTTGCATTGAATGATATTGAGGGCAGTTTTTTTTCTGGCAAGCGGCGATGTTTTAAGCTTTTCGGTCGGTGAGCAGGCTTGGAGTTTTCAACAAGCTTTTGAGTGAAGCAACAGCTAGAGAACCGTCGGTATAGCTTAGAACCCTGGCACAAGCAGACCTTTGGCGCGAGCAAGCGGGATATGCATTTGCATTTCAGGGACTACATTCTATATGTATAATACAGTAGGTCATAGGATGTCATAGGCATCTTTTGCTCCACAGAGACAGCGATTCCTAGTGACACTGATCAACTCCTGATCACAGAGACAGCGAATGACAAACGATACACCTACCTGCGGTTCAAGGTGTTTATGTATAGATGATAGATGATCCATTATCCATCAACTCAGCTTACAGGAAGGTGTTGGGGGCCTGCGGGTGGGGTTTTGCGGATACTGGGGGTTTTGAGGCTTGGTTGCTGGTCTTACGGCGCTTGTGCATGATGTGTCATGTTTGTACGTGACGAACGTTTGTGCGGTTGCTCCCTGCAGCAAGTTTACTCATTTCTTTGCTTATGTTGCCTCTCTGCTGCCTGGTTCAAGACATGTCTCCTTCATTCCACTAAGGATGGCAAGACACCCCGCAAAGAGGTTCCTTGATGTGCACCCCTCGGGTGAGGTTCGCCTGGTCCTTTGGAGATGTCCGTTCGAGGTCACTGCCATTCTCCTGCTTGGCTATTTGGGGATATACTTCATTCACCTGGTAGCCCCTCAGCCGCATCAGTCGCTGGAGAATTGGGCAAGCACAACAAATGTTGTTGTGCTGAAGATTGAACATGCTGAGCCAAATTCAGAGATCCATCCTGCTCACAGATGTTCTCTTCTTTATTTGCCTCGTAGCTGCACAGCTGGAATTCAACTTGTGGACAATTCTTCCGATATGAACTGCACATATCCTGTTCAGATGCCCAAAGGGTGTCACATTTCATTTGCACATGTTTGTCACATCGAACAGAAGATCAACGCTGAAAGATGATTGGGTTGTGTGGACATGGTTAAATTCGCCAAATCCGTGAGGAGCTGACGCTAAGCCCTGTGCTTTTTGGGGGACTAGTGTTTTGGGGTCAAGCAATTTTGATCAACTTGATCAACTTGCAACTCACAGACGCAGTGGTTGACTTCACATCCCACCACCAACTGGATCAGATGTCCGCAACAGTAAAATGTCAGATGTCCTCAATGTGAGGCAACCCATCTTTATACGGTTGTAAGCTGCTATATATCCGGGATCATCCAGTTGGTCAACCACTTCCGGAGGCGTTCTTCAGCCACCGCAACTCGGTGCGCGTGGCCAACCGGCGCCGGCCGAGTTGGGAAGGTGAGGATCCTCCGTGAAATCGGGAGGGCGGCCCGTGGAGTTCCCCAAGACGGTGAGGTGGGGGGGCCTGGGTCAAAAAGCAGTTTAGTAGTTGAAGAAGCACATTGATATGAAGGATTTGGGTTTAAGAGGTTTTAAGCTTTTTGATTGGATCTAGACTCTGCTATTAGCGGCACTGTACTCTTCTTAGCTTTCATCACACGGGAAGACACTTGTCCTTTACTCACTGGTTTTGTTTCACTTCCCGTGTTGGTTGAAGAGAGAGAGTATCACCCACTTAGAAGCAAGTCTGAGCAAGCCCAATGCGTCCAAGAACCAGTTCAACCAGAGACCGGTGCTACAGTAACGCACCAGTTTAAACCAGTGCTGTGTCCACGAAGGAGCTGGAAGCTCAACCCCCCCCCCCGCCCCTCCAAAACCAAAACAGGTGTGAAAAGCCAGGCGTGCAGAAAACCCGGCCGTGGAAAACGGTGAACAGTGAACATTTGGTCCCGACAGTTAGGAGGTCAAAATGTGTCCATCGCGCAATCCTCACCTCTCGCAATCGCGCAATCCACAACCCCCTCAGACTTTTGAGCCAGATGGGGCTCTTGACCTACTCCTATTTACCTAACGTACGAGTGTAACTTGCTGCATGGGAACGGGCCAACCAGCCATCTGCCTGCCTCGAAGCCCTTCGGGTGAGTCACACCGAACCGGGCGCTTTCGCTTTTGCACACCGCGAACCGCCTCGCAGCACCTGAGCCGGTGCCGAAGTTCGAAGACTACAACGAGGAGGTCATCAAGCTGAGGCGAAGCTTGGTCTGGGCTATATGACCTGCGGTGTATATAGTGTTCCCCGAAATAGATAGTGGCACGGTGTCCAATACATTTTTAAGTGGGGATCCGCTTTTCTATCTACTATGGGGTCGAAAAAACACGGAGTTGCCAATGCAGGAGCTAGGTTTGGCTGGTATTTCACTGCCCCTGTCATATCTATCGATAGTCTCCGAACATGAGATGTACCATCCACATGAGACGTATCAGTGGAAGTGGAAGATGGCTCTTCAAACTTCAAACAACAGTTACAGTTTGGCTTGCAAAATGATCTTTTCCCGCTTGCAGCTAAAACCTTCCGCAGTGTAGTTTGTCATGGATTCTTTTTTACCAACCCTGGGACCCTCGGTCTTGGTTTGTCCCCTAGTCTGATCCTCTTGCTCTGCTTGCCAAAAACTCCAAACACTTATGAGCCTTTGCTTTGGATGCCAATGTTCTCAGTTTTGGAGTTTGGTGAAAGTGTGAAACGGATGATGAAGTCCGTTGGATGGCGTTTCAATAACCTAATATCCAAAAAGAACTTATATATCCTTCACAAAAAGTGGTCCGTAAGGGATGCATACCAAGTGAGCGATCTACTGCTGATAATATACAATTTATTGTGATCAATAAGCATGACATGTTTTGATCCCGACTCTCCATCCTTTTCCTTTTCGCCGTGTCTGCTGCGGAGCCGACGATCGGAGCTAAAAGAAACGGTTTGCAGGTTCTGTTTGGGCTTGCGGCGCAAGACGGCGCAGAAGCTCAGATGGGATGGGCGGTTTCGATTCGTGGGCAGAGTTTGGAGGGGAACCTGCGCGGTAGATGAACGTTGAACATCTTAGAAAGGCATGATGGGTGATTCAGAAGACTGGAGTCAGGTTTAGACGTGGATGTGGATGTTCCTTGTGAAAGATGCAGCAAGAGATTTTTTTAACCATGTGGCTCGGCCTGGACCTGGACGAGAGCAAACCTGAGCAGCGATTGGCTGTTGTATGGCTGGGAAAGAGTCCATTTGCGGACACTTTTACAGTGGGATATATAAATACGTTAGTCATGCAATCCACATCCTCCACATGTTGCTTGCTGAAGAAGCCGGTCTGCCAATCAGACTCACTCACTACAGGAGGAGGAGTGTTGGATTTGTTACAGTAGGTTAGGTTGGTTATGTAAAGAAGTGTTGCATCCGTCTTAGTTTTCCTCAGGTGCATCGACTCATCATTTTGTTGATCCTCATCACCGCCAGTCGGGGTCCTGAGCGAAGTCGGCTTTGGTGACCATCGACCCGTTCTTTCAACCATGCGGATCCTGTTCGGCCAGAGGTGGCGATTCACCTCGTGTTCAAGACCAGCTAGTGTCAAGACTAATTAGCAAGACGGGTATTTCCTTGATTTGAACGTTCTAGATCGTCACTAGTGACTCGTGACCAACAGTGTTGTAGTTTGGAGATGTCTTGGACATTCTTGGACATGGCAGAACATGTAAGAACGCACTTTGATTTGGCTCGATCGCCACCTGACAATTCCCACTTCAGAAAGTTCATCGTCATGAAACCCGGTAGCTAGTTGCCTTGAACAAGAACTATTTACATTGTCAAAATTGTCACTTTTCAAAATCGTATTTGTCTATGCCACATGGCCGTGCGTCAAACTCCTGTACCAAGAAAATGGACCGAATAGTTGAATGATTTATTTTTGGGAAGATCATGTGTTTCATGACTTCGGTTTTACAGTAGTATTTGCTGAACTTTGATCTATATACCGTTCCGCAAGATGTTGACTTGCTCTGATGTTTGACATAGATGGACCCCATGCATGCAAGACCCATGCAGTAATAAAAAAGATAGAAACGATTTGCGAGTCCCAGGTGGTAGCTACTTCGCGTCCCAGGGCTACTTCAAACCTTTGGAAGAGAAGCTGCTTGGTGTGAAGTGAAGGCAACGACGTGATTGTGAAGTCACTCCCGTGGCGGGGGCAAGGAGTAATTTGTTTTAGTAATTACGTTGACCGCAAGGACACCGGGAACAACGACCATGCAATGAATGTTATAAGTTGACTATATAAATATTGTAGTTGTCGATATTTTTTGGGCTCGCTTTGTTCCTTGGTATCCATGCCTGATATTTTTGGTCCTGCATGTCGATTTTAAGGTTTGAAAGGGGGAATACTAGTTTGTTCGATTGTAAAGTCCTTGTTTGAAGGTTTGTCTCATACTGGCTCTTCGCCGAAAATGAGCGACGTTTCGTCGCGGAGTATGCCGCTGCACGCTTAGAGGGGACGAACGTGCCCAAATGAAGTGGTCGAACGGTACCTGGTCCAGGGCAGGGGTTTGGAGAAGCTGTTGCCCCATGCATACTTTAGCTCTCGAAAGTGTGCATGGGCCCACGATTTTACACATGCCAAATGACGTACCAGTTGCCAGAACGTCGGCCTAAGGGTCCACATCCAGCTTTCATATTGAACAGAGCTGACCACCTTCATTCCAGCTGAGAGTCCGATGAAGTGTGATTTCGTCCCTCGTGATATACCGTATATATATATATATATGATGGATGGAGCGGACTTCCTCGATGTCGACTTTGCTTCAGATCATTTGGGTGAAGTGACTCACATTTTCAGGACCGAATGAGGCCACTTGAGATGAGAACTTGAGTAATTACTTGGGAGCTCCAGCTTCAAAGTTGCAGCTCGCAGAAGGGGGGCGCGGGCGCCAAAGGCCTGAATCATTTGCCGTGCTGCTGAGTTGACGTGGCCAGTAGCGGTGCCAGCCTCGACTGCGTGTTGTCGACCTTAGCTGGCCGGTAGTCTGGCCGGTACCTGGCACACTCCACAAAACTCTGCTCGCCACCAAATCAAGCGCAGCTGTGCTGGCTGCGCTGCTGGCTGTTTTCCTCTCGTGTCACCCCTGCCTTTGGTCCCGGGCAGAAAGCGTAAGGCGTAGGTTGAGGAACTTGCGCAGAGGCTAAAGGACCAAGAGACATCAGTGGGGTGCTGCTCGTGTTGACCGCTTGGAAGAGCACCTGGTTGCTCGCGTGAAGCGAGGAGCGCTTTGACGTCACGGGACATCACCGGAGAACCTGTGGAGGGCGAAGCTGAGGAGTTTCCACGCCAGGTTCGCGAAACTGGTGGAGTCAGGCCTGGTCCAGAAACTCAAACTGGACCTCCTTTTGTTCTTTGTCAAATTAGCATCAGCTTGCAGGTGGAGGTCTGGCAGCGTCGATCAATTGTGCAGTGTAGACAAAGTCGGTTGCAGACCCCTGGTACATGGTTGCACGACATTCGTAAGCATGAACAGTTTCGACAGGTGTACGGTCATGAGATGGACGCCCATGACAAAGACAAAGTTTGACAGAGTCTCATAACCTGTCAAACAACAAGCGCAGGCAGTAGGCATGGCCCATGGCTGGTCCAAGTCAAGGACCACGTCAATCGGACCACGCAGCACTGGCAGTGGAGTCCTGGACTCACGAGACCGACCGGGACCGCCCCCAATACCTGCAGACGAAGGAGGGGCCACGTCACCATGTGTTCTTTATTGCTGAGTTCGGTCATGTTCAGTCAATTCCCACCTCGGTTTTCTCTTAAAAGCCTGCCCAGGTTGTTATAAGGTATGTCTATCGAACACCCTCCAAGGCAAGGTGGAGCGTGATACGTTGTGGGGCGGCTCCGTGGTCTTGTCATGCCATTGGGACCCCATCAACTTGGGGCTTGCACTTTTGGTTCTTAACTTCCTCGGTCCCGGTAACATGAGATCTAGTAACTCAGGGGCCCATATGTTTTGGATCCCATTTTCCCATCGCGGGCCATTTTTCACAAAGATTCTGGACCTCCCTTCAATTGTCGTTACCTCAATTTGTGGTGGGCACATGTCCTTTTTCTCGGATCCACCTCTGAAGAATACTTTGGGTTGTCTCGCTGCTGGGACTTCATTTGATCTACTTCACCATCCCACTCACCTATCGCCTACGCACCTATCTTGACAAGCCCTTCCTCTTTCGTTTGTGGCTACCTCCATCGCCTTCATCGAAGAACTGATGCAGAGTTTCGAGGTCTGAGATGAAAAGCTACCAGACCCACCCACCACTGTTCTTTTTTCCGCCCGAGGGTGCTCGCACTCTTTTCGTTCCATCGAAGACGGACGGGACGAACGATGGATCGAGGTTGGTGCCCTTCTTATACCTGGGGTTGGTGGCCATCCTCATTGGACAGGCGCTTTTGATGGGATGCACATGCTGCAAGACGTTGCGTGCGTTTGGGAATGGAATTGCAATTCCACATGAAACGAAAACAAATACTAGTACAGCCAAACAGGTTTAGTTATGACATGTTAAAACCTTTGACAGTTGATCATGGGAAAGTTCCATTGGTTTCAGTATATTGCAGTAAGTGGTAGTTGTTTACACATGGGAGCAATTGGGAGCGACGTGGACGGACGTGGCGCCAGGGCTCCGATCTCACGACATGGCTCCAGGTGAAGCAGGATGTCAGTGAATTACAATGCTTTCAGAGTAGAAGACACATAGAACAAACTATATATGAAGCACCATCTATGCTGCTACAGCATGTTCTAGATTTGTTCAAGCATCCCTGGGTTCCTCCGCCAGCTTGTTTTGTTGCCATATATCAAGAATAGCTCCGTGGAGCATATGAGGGTGTCTTGGAATAGGGAGACCGACCCCTCCAACCAAATGCTGTTGCTTTGGCCTCTTCTAGGGGGTCGTCCCGTGGGTATACCATATATGGATGTGACTCAAACAAACAAGACCCGGAGACCACAAGTTTTAAACTTCTTATATATAAACATGTTATATATATATAGATGGCACGGGCCATAGCCATATATATTGTTGAAATATGCTGAAGTATGTTAAAAACCATTTGCAGATTGGTCCACTGCAGCTGAGTCACGACCAAGTCACGCACCAGGCGGTGCTTCGTGAGGCATGCCCGGTGTCTTCTTTTTTAATGTGCGCCGGTCATGGGTGAAGTTCCACAAGGATACAAAAGGATGGTCATGTCATCATGCGATAGTCACCTCTGAATGGATATTATAGAAAAGGGAACCTTCTCGCGAACTATGCCCAAATGATCTACGTAAACGTAACAGTTACTATTTGGGACAGCTGAGGATGAACCAAGAGTTTGATGAGTGAACAGAAAGCCGCGTGATCTGATCAACCATTTTTAACTTCTTTGTCAAATGGGAGATTATCCATTTCGCGGAGTGAGTCTTTATGAACCGTTATCCATTTCAATGGCTGTATTTAGCGGCAATGTCGAGTTGTATGAGCTGTGTGATGTTGTTCTCTGGGACTTTACATCAGTACAAGCTCTCAGGCAACTGCAAGCTTGGGCTTCGGGCATGAACTTGTGCAAGAACAGGGAACAGCGAATTGTTCCAACCACAAATCATCAAGCACACATTTGCAGTCAATGTACATGTGTTCAACACATATCCGGGGAATCTAGCAATCCTCCAGATGAGATTCTGACATTTTTTTCACATTTCCTGTGATTCCAATATTGCGAGTACCACCAGGTTCTGCCGTTCCGCCCTTTTATCCCCCAGAAGTTGCACCATTGAACTTGACCTGGAGGTCCCGGACATGTGATGCTTTTCCTCGGTCTACAGGTCTGGCAGCGGAACATGAAGCACTTCGGCCCCATGATCGAGGCCGCAGATCCAGGGTTTTGTGGCTTAAACATACGCATTTACCAGTTGGAGCAATGGTTGGAGCAGCTTGAAGCTCACTGTTGCCTGTCATCATCTGGAAGTTGAGCACGATGAGACGTAAGATGGAGAACTCTTTTTTGAAGACTTTTTGCGCTTATCAACCACCAACAAAGACGTTGAACTATTCAACTGCGTTTGTTGAGGTAAAGTTGAACAACTCGTGTTCTTAGTTGAACTGAGATGATTGTACTATTCAACCATACCTGCAACTGTATCTGGAGAGAAAGGGGCTGCGAAGCACGCAAGCACCTCCTGGGGATGTTTGTTTTGTGTGGCTTTGGATGGAGGAAGAGTCCGACCTGCAGCTTGGACGTAGAGTCGGACCAGACGGGCTCCGACCTGACCGGCACCGACCGTGACCGGGACTTGGAACTGTCAGACCATGACCAAGTTCTCCGAAGCGATGCAGGCTGAAGGGAATGTGCGACGGGGATGGTGAGTCTAAACCCTGTACTCTTGGGGAACATCCTGAAGGTCCCTGTCCATGTTGGGGAACATGCTGAAGGTCCCTGTCAACTGAAGAAAGCCGAACGGCGTGAGTAGAAACGAACCACATCGCCAAAGTGCAGGTCGAAACATCCGTCGAAAGCAGTGGGAAGGGGGGTTGGCCATCTATGAAGTCTTTTGGGTGGCGAAAAGCAGATATGGAAGATGCCGGGTTTGGGGCTTTCTTCAGGGCACACCCAGGCAATCCAAGACCTGCAACACCCATGGGTTAGATCCAAGAGTGGTGACAACTCAAAAATCTCAGATGCTGGCTGGTCATGTTTCGTCATATTTTTCCTTGATTTTATTTTAAACATTACAGTCAGTATAATATGATTTGGATATTTTTGGACATTTGACCCATGTTACTTTGACCTTTGATGACTTTTGGGTCTCCACTGCCCAGTATTAAGTATAAGATACCGTTGAGCAATTCCCTTCAGCAAGGCCAGGAGTGTTCCCACAGGGAACCTTTCGTCAATTATGTAAAACTGTTGCGGGCGGTGTAAAGAAGGTCAATCTCGTCAAGTGACACGACGGGCGATCAAAAGGAGATCCAATAGTTAGGTGTCATTTGAAGCATGGTCAATCGCTTCCCACTTGGGATGGCCCACTTGGGATAGATCAGACGGGACTCGAAACCCAAACCTCGCAGGCTACTGACTCTGACGCTTTTTGGCCATTAGAGCATGTCCTGTTAGAGTGGGTGGTTGGAAAGCACATTCTGCAGTTTCTGGGGATAAATTAAGCTTATTAATAAGAGTAAATCTCCAACAGCAAGGAGCACATGGATTGGACTCTAGCTACCCAGGAACCCAATCAACCCAGCTGCTTCCACCGACATCCGCTGACTCGACTGGATCCATCGTTAGTTCTTTTAACTGAAGATCAACCCTTTTTTTGGCCGGATCAGCTGGAGTTCAGCAGGAGAAGCAGCTGCGCTTCACAGCATCACGCCCATCACGCCCATGGCACGTGCCATGGCTGATCCTGGTCCCGCCGACCCACCGAGTTCTCCGCGGTTACGGGAAGGCTTTGGTACGGCACCGCCCAGCGATGGTGCACCGGGTAACAAGCAGGTGGGTGAGGAAGGTGGCTACCCGAAGCCGGGAAACTTGGCTGAAGATTCATCTTTGATATCATGCACCTGCATCTTCCTGGAAAGTAACCCGTATTTTATAGAAGATGTCTTCCAAAAGACCGAGTCATTGAAGCAACTGCGCTACCTTTTGGGACTGGCACAAGTTGCCGCTGACCGACTCGCAGCCGACCCAAAGGCTGAGGTGCTTGACGTGGATGGGGCCCTGTGTGACCTGGCTAGCGAGGCCGCCAAGCATTGGTCCAACAAGGATTTGCGAAGAGCAATGATCGAAACAACGTTCAAACTCAAAGCCTTCTTCTTGAAAGAAGAAACCAGTCCTGTCAGCTCAGAGGTGTTGCAATCTCTTGCAAGACTTCAATTTGTTGACGGGCCCATCTCAGTCTTCAACGTACATTTGCCGAGAGCAGTAGATGTTCATGGACTTACTGCGGCATCTCATAAGGCAATTTTGGATGCGTATGCCACTTTTGTGCGCACAGAGAGGGCACTGCGAAATCAGCCGGATGTATGGACAGTGAACGGCCTCTTCGTCCGATGTGCAGTGACCTGTGCCGTGCACTATTCCAACCAAGGAGATCTCTATTTCCTCATGATTTGGAAAGGCAATGAGATCCGGTTTGTGGGCGGGGACATTATTCACCAAAAGGACAAAGATTTGCTAGATGCAGCTCGGCGCGAATTTTTGGAGGAGCCGGGGGAAGAACCACTTGATGTTTTGAGGGCCTGTGGCCTGTGATGCGCAGAAGCAGATGTGTGGTTTCTGTTGCGTGTTTTGTGTTTTGTTGGGAGATGGCTGCATATTGTTTTGAACCCCACAACATCGCAGGAGGTTCAACCCTTCGGAATTTCCGAGTCAGACCTTGCTGATCGGTTCGATGGAGCCTTCATCCACTATGGTGATAAGAACCTAGCAAGCGAGGCCAGGTATGCAGTTACCCCATACATTTTCATCAAAGTCAATGCGGAGTTTTTCGAGAGGACCTTCAACACCTTCAACCCAACCTACCCAAAGGAGGTAGCTGACGAGTCGGAATTTGTGACTGCGAACAGCTCTGTGGATCTAAAGCGCGGAAGGCATTTGGGAGAGCATACCAGGCCTTGGCTGGAGCACAATAAGTGGGGCTGGGCAAAGAGCCACATATCTTGGGACTCGCGGCGCTTGCCTGGCAAATTGGTTTATGCTGAAGAACTTGAGGGCCAAAAGCACCCCAGGATTTCTCCGTCAAACACGTGGTTGCTGAGCAACATCGCAAAAGATAAGAAAACTTGGGCCACATTTACAAGTCGCTTCTTGACATGATGCCTTGCGCACCCGAAGTCAGTGTGCAGACATCTACTCTTGAACATGCCATGCTGATGGTCCAAATAAGTGAGCTTTTAGGGGCGAAGGTGATGGTGGCATCGCAGCTGACTGAGCCGGTCAAACGTGGATCAGTTCAGTTCGTGCGTTGCAGTGCCCATGGGGGGTGTTGGTATGGCCCGGCTATTGCACCGGATAGTTCCATTTGTGTCCTGGCAGAGCGTGTTCCCACAAAGCTAGAGTGACCAGGTGGGTGTCAGCATCAACACCGATCTTCCACAAATTCCTTCCTCACCCTCAAAGCGGATGTGGATCTGGGCCAATGCCAAGCCACCAAAAAGAGGATGTTCTGACGGCGGATCAATTCGCTTCGTGTTCTGACGGCGGCGGAGGGGGGGTGGCATATACCAACGGCTCAGAGGAGTTCTGGTGGACATTGATAGCAGGTGTATGTGGTTCCCAAATAGTTAGTGGCAGGGTTTCCAATACCTTTTGTTGTGGTGCGGTAATCTACATTTCTATCTACTTGGGAGTCTATATTCTATATAGTTATTGTTTTCAAAGCTACTTTTGATGGATAGGATAAATACAGCATGATAGGGCGATAGATGGCGATACGGTTGTAAGTTTTGCCGATAAACCAAGTTGCTCTATTGATCAGTCACGTGCACTCTTTGCGAATGCTCTCAAGAAGCTTATGTATGTAGTCTAGCACTCACTCCTTGTGTGGTTTTCTAGTATAGCCTACTATAACCTCCGGTTGCAACCAACAGGCGAAGCAAAGCAGCTTCCCTCATAATTTATAGTATTATTGTAATCTCCTGATACATTTGCGTCACCAAGTTGTCAAATGTTTTCAACGTGTTTTCTCAAAACTTGAAGCGATTCGCAATCACTTCGGTTACTTCGGTTGGGGAGCTTTCAGACGCACAGGAGAGCAGAACTGTTCCTGCGAACAGGAGTGCCTTCCAAAAGACAAAGCTGGCTCAAGTAACTGAAGGGAGGCCAAAGCGGAGCTTGGAACAAATTATACATAGATCGCTGCATATACAATCTTGTAATAGGCCAATAATAGTATATTCATTCACTTACAGTGGATAAAGATGATCGCTTTGCTAAAGATCCGTTTGCTGCAAGTCTTAGCATGTCTCCGCTCACAAGCTGTACCAGAGATGATTCTCAATTGGCTTTGCCGACCAGCATGTTATGCCTCAACCCTCACGGTTAAGCAAGAACCGAAGCAAACCACCGGAACCGATGAACACCGTTCCAATTTGTAGGTTAAAGCCACGGTACAGCCTGTCAGTTTCCCGTTTTATTTCGAATTATCGACGAGCCATGGGGCAGCGCGTATCCAGAAGCAACCATTGGAGGCTTCTTCACTGCATTCGACATAAACCGTACTCTGTGAGCAATCCAGGAATATGGCTGTCGGGCGATTTCGCCTGGCACCCACTTCCTTTTGAATTCCTTTCAATGCCAAATAGACCAAGCAGTATAAGACAAATATATTCGCCCAAACCTAGTCCGCTCATTTGTCAATCTCAGATGTTTCTTCGGGATTCAAAGATCCATCTCATGAGGTTCATTGTGTTGTGCCATGTTGTGTTTCTTGGAGCCTAAAACATGTGGACATGCAACCTGTCTCAGGTAGCTGAAGAGCAGCTTCAAGATGGCGGTGTTTCTTTTTAGATCAGATCCTACAGTACTACAGTCATTGTACTCCTGGCAAATGCAATGGATATTCCAGATCAATTGCCATCGGTCGGAAGGTTGGAAGATGTTGATCGTTCCATTTCAGCGGCGCAGTACGTTCTCTTTTAAACGTTTAAGCAACATTCGGACACTGAAGTCGGACAGGATCCACAAAATGCATCACGTGCATGTGACTTCAGATTGTTTTTTTTTCTCTGTGCAGATCTGTGACTTGATCTATGTTGAAACAGAAGACCAACTCGAATTACATTAAAAGAAAAAAACACATCATATACCCCTCTTTCCTGCGGTTCATCTGTGTTCAGTTGGGACCTCATGTTCATGTTGTATGTTTGCCCCACCGCTACCGATCCGATCCCGGGCCGCTTCCAATCGCCAGCCACCAGGCGTGCGTCCTGCACACCGGGCACTTCCTTTGTCAACGGGGCCAAAGCGGAGACCCAGGCCGAGGGGATGGACCCGAACGGGGCCATGGATCGGCGATTGGAAGACATGGACCCCCTAGTAGTAGCGTCCGAACGCTCCGCTCGTAGTAAGGCCACGAGCCCCGAACGTAGCTTCTTGTTACTAGTAGTGATGCCAGGAGCCCCTAGTAGCGTCGCCCCTAGTAGCTTCTTATCCATAATCCTACCATATCGATATATATTTTACTAGATAGGATATGGTGGGATTATGTCATTATGCAACGATTCGTATGCAAGGATGTTTGTTTTGGGGGGATTATTCTTTTTTTGGGGGGGGATAAGATATGAGAAGAGCAACATTCATGGTCATGTTCATTTGTGTTTCATGGTCAGAAGAGTCT